GTTTGCAGCAGAAATTAAAAGTGAGTCCATGAATATTTGATGCGATGCGGCAATGTGTGTTGGCCAAAAATGTGCAGGTGAACTTTTATGCGACAACGATTGTAGTCTAAAAGTATCTGAACATTTGCTGTCCTGGGACGATGGCCGTGACTGTGCGCAAAGGAGATAAGAGTAATTTCATCAGAATTTAGGGTTTTGTTTGCAGAGGACGATTAATTCTAATTACTAGAGTATACATATTATATACACCCACTGAATGCTTATTCATGGGGTATATACATACATACATTAAAACATGCATGCATGTTTGTAAGGAAATGGGAAGACATGATTCTGCTGTTTAACTATGTTACAGGAAGAGTTGATTTAAATAAATATGAGTTATGAATGGTAAAACACTCTTCTGTGTTGGTACTATGGTAGAAAAACCCACAATGCTAAAACTAGATTTATTGAAAATGAGACTACAGTTTCTGAAGAGGAAAAGGAGAGGAGGGGGTATAAAGAGAGAGGGGGGGAGAGGCAACGCGGTAACACTTGGAAGGTGAGGACAGACGAACGGAAGCGAAGGGAGGTCAGATTAGGTTTTTGCATTGTGGGTTTCTCTACCAAAGATGAGTTATAATTCTGAACACAAAAGAAGAGCGAGAGGACACAGAAAAAAAGTTGAAAGTAAAGAGGTGATAACCATGTCAAAAGGCCGTTTTTCAAACAGAACTACTGAAACCTGGAACGATCTCCCAAATAACACACATTCACATACGTACGCACACATACACACATAGATATACAGAAACACACACACACACATAGACACACACACACACACACACACACACACACACACACACACACACACACACACACACACACACACACACACACACAAGCACGCACATACACATGTAATATATTAATATATACATGTAATATTTACACACACACACACACACACACACACACACACACACACACACACACACACACACACAAGCACACACAACTACTGAAACCTGGAACGATCTCCCAAATAACACACATTCACATACGTACGCACACACACACACATACGCGTACACAAGCACGCACATACACATGTAATGTTAATATATACATGTAATATTTACACACACACAAGCATACACTCAAACACACACACACAAGCAGACACTCAAACACACACACACAAGCAGACACTCAAACACACACACACGCGCGCGCACACAAGCACGCACACACACGTATATAAATGGGTGCATGCATATATATATATATACACACACACATGTGTGTGTATATATAAGAATATATATGTATATATATATATATATATATATATATATATATATATATATGTGTGTGTGTGTGTGTGTGTGTGTGTGTGTGTGTGTGTGTGTGTGTGTTTATATATATATATATATATATATATATATATATATATATATATATATATATATATATATAGAGAGAGAGAGAGAGAGAGAGAGAGAGAGAGAGAGAGAGAGAGAGAGAGAGAGAGAGAGAGAGAGGGGGGATTGACAAATACGCGTAAAAAACGAACATAATTGAACTAGACATGTCAACAAATTTAAAACAGGACGTCAAAGCTTTTCCCATTTGAGGTTCGAACCCGGGACCAAACGCGCGATTCGACTCTGCACTCGAACTTTCCAAAGTTTGAGCTCGGATGTGAACAAAGTCAAACACAGACACTCGGTTTACATGCAGGCTGTGGTGGACGCTCGGAAGTGTAAAAAGTGAATAGCAGAAAAGAAGAAGCAATCAAGAGGGGCCGAACTAAAAAAAGGAATAATAGTAAGAAACAGAAATCTGTAAGATATAAGGGACCGATGCAAGAATCAATTATCCTGTTGACAGGAATGTGGCAGAAGGAATTGATTTCACATTGTGATGAAAAAATAACGAACGTTGTCGAATAAAGAGGTTGAACAAAAACTATCGAAAATGCAACTCAGATGCCCAGTAGATGACGATGGTGAATATAATCATAGTGTGACTATGCTCTCCAAACGCCGAGCGAGAGGTAAGTTATATGGGTTAATCTTTACAGTACAGACGCACAAAGAGAGGGTAAATTGATGATATTGTAGAAAACAAGAAGTTGAAGTCGCATATGAAATAATATGCAGACCCTAAGGGGTATTTGTTACCGAGATCGACGCACCCTCCAGAGAAGAATTCCCTAAACCATGGGAACATGTGAACTCAAAATCAAAACCTAAGCGTTCCTTCCTCTATTTATTCTCTGGACAGGAGACAGACACCCCTGCACCCTCCTTGATAGCACTATGGGCTAATTTAAAGAAAATCCGACATTAAGAGCACTAGTTGTGTGAGGGTGTTATGCAGCGGGTATTTTCGTCATTTCACGATAAATATGAGGCCGCTGCAGTTGTACCTGTTGTTTATTCCCCTACTCTTTATGCTCTATAAGATGGCAGTGTCCATTTCCCTCTACTTCTGTGCGTAGGTCTCGGTAACATTAATCTATTGCACTGGATTGTAAGCGTTTTTGCGCATGTATGGTCTACATTTATTCTATTTCAGCGCCGGTTATGTTTCAGATCCTTCCCTACTATCAGGACTATCTTATCAAGGCTGTTGACTGATTTAAATATTGTTCAGTTCAAAATCGTTTGTATCTCTATATCTACAGCACATCGATAATATTCTTAGAATGACTTGCAATTTTACTCGAAAAAACAGGACCCTGGCGGATTCTATTGTAGCATTACACGCTCACTAAGAACTATGGCAATTAGCGAGTCAAGGGATCACGTACTGAGATTTCGTTAGATACTTAGAAATGGCTTAAATAACGAGACTTTATCGGGTTCATTCAACTGGCTGCGCTCAACTCAAAATCCACGTGAAACTTTGCTATCTGTGTGGAACCGGGAAAAACCATTGTCAGTTATCGCTGGGCCTACGCGCTCCGGCAGAGGCCATAAATCCTTGAATTACTGTCGTCTCAGATTGGATCCCTACTCTGATAAATCGCCAGGGAGGCATGTAAGCCCTGTATTACCGTAGAACAGAAAGTTTATTGACTTCTGCCCGTCCACAGACTCTTAGCCATCGCCGATCAACGCATTGCCAGTGGCTGACGCGCGGAAATTTTAGAAATGTGGAGACACACGCTAGATTGAACTGTGCAAACGTTTTGCACAAAATGGTTTGCGGGGTGCAGTTTCCTACTTTTTTCTCATTTTTTTTCTCTCTCCTCTTCCTATACGTCTCCTCTTCCTATACGTCTCCTCTCTCTCTCTCTCTCTCTCTCTCTCTCTCTCTCTCTCTCTCTCTCTCTCTCTCTCTCTCTCTCTCTCTCTCTCATTCATTCATGAACTCACTCATACACATTCAAAGAAGAGAAAGATACACACGCGCACTCACACATGCACGCACGCATGCACGCACGCATGCACGCACGCATGCACACACGCATGCACACACGCATGCACACACGCATGCACACACGCATGCACACACACATGCACACACACATGCACACACACACACACACACACACACACACACACACACACACACACACACACACACACACACACACACACACACACACACCGATATTCAGTATGAATCATATCTATACATACTAGAGTAGTACATTTTATAGAGTTAAAAGTTACAATGCTGGTATCATAGAAATTAACTAATGAGGTTTGCCAGGACACGATATTGAGTGCTGGGAATATGATGAAAAAGAGAGAAAATAAAAACGGGATAGGAAGTACGAGGAGGAGGAAGGAGGAGAATAAAAGAGGGAAATGAGGAAATGGATAAAAAGGGACGTGATAGAGAGAGAGAGAGAGAGAGAGAGAGAGAGAGAATGAATAACCATAAGGAAAAATAAGAATAATAAAAGTGAATCAAATTCTGCAATAACCAGTTCCACCGCCATCCCGTCCTTAATTAACTTTCGATCCGAGAACAGTGGGGACGAAAACAAGGACAGACAGAAAAAAAAAATAGAACAAGAACAAGAACGATAACAAACAACAGCAACAGAAAAAAACAACGAAAATGAAATAACAACCAAAATGAATGGCGAATCCTTTCAAGAGGAAACCCTAGCCCCCGTCACATGAGTGAGCAGCGAACGACTCGCAGGAAACCGAATCTCGTCGCGGACAAGTGCATCTTAGACACGCAGACAAACACACAAACAAAATTACGTAATATTACTTAGAAGCCACTCCTTAAAGAGACAGATGATTCTTGATCAGTACACGATTCGTTGCAGTCGGGAGAGGAGGAAAGAGTAAAGAGAGAAGCAAGGAAAAAAAGGAGAGCGAGAGAGAGAGAGAGAAATAAGGGTAAAAGAAGTGCTACTTTTATTTTATTTAGCGTGGTGTGAAGAAAAGAAATGAAATTGTAGCGAATATATTCGCTGTGTATTTTTAAGATCAGATGGTAAATCTTATTTTAAAACGATTATTTATTTGTTCTTGATTTTTGTGAATGGTGGGAGCTTCTGCAGTTCTTATAACAGTGTTCGTATCGGAGTGATGATGATAACGCGTCAGTTTAGCCTGTATACCGATATATGTGTATGTTACATAGATGAGTAAAGTTCTATATAGTATTTTCGGTTCATTGTGTAAGTTGCGTGTGCTGGAGACAGGTCAGACAAGGTAAAGACGCCATGGTTGGTTACCTCAGCGCGTGGTCGGGTCGGATAACAAGCATTATTTTTTTCTGTTATTTTCAGGCTTTCTGTGCTTCTCTGCTTGTTTTTGCTTGTTTTTTCATTTGTAACATACGTATGTTGTGGATACATGTTTTTTAAACTTCGGAATGACGTTGTATTTTGAAGAGGAAATAGCTAATTAGCAACTCTCAAGCGCATCATGTGGACCGCGCGTGTACTTAAAAAAAACTGGAAAGAAAATGCGGTTGAATATTTAACACTCACCTCACAGATCGTGACACACTAGACGTTGTGGCATTGCAAGACA